CCATACTCGATGCTGAGACTTCGTCTAGGCGGAGCAGTTGGCCACGCGGGAAACGCACAGGTGGACACTTCCCAAAACCAGGGTGGGTGCGTCAGATGGTCGAGCAATGATCACGCCAACATCCAACGCACGTGATCAAATTGCAGCAATTAACGACTCCAACGTCGGCCATCAAGCAATTAGCACACCAAGTGCGACGATCCCGGATGAAGGGGGGAGCCGTGAATGTTCATACGTATGCGGTAGCATGGCGACTGCAGCCACTTGTGCATGAATCACCCGTATCTGCTGCTGTCTCTGATGATGGGTTCGAGTAGGAATCCGGAACGTCAGGCTAATAAAGCTCTTGCCCAGCGATCATGTCTCCTTTTTCATGATCAAAGCATGGTCCACACCGCAGTTCGGCAGTAGTAAGCGACAAAGTCAATGACCGACCAACAAATTGGGAGCAATGTTGACTTGCGTGTGAGGTCATCTATACGGAAGCGGGTTTGCAATACATGTATCTCACTTTATTCTGTCTACAATTATCGTGTTCCGATGGCACAGGAGAACAAGGTGATCGGAAATAGGACAGGAGATACTGGCTGACGGGTTCTAACAGCCTATCTGCGCTTGCAGTACAGGATATGATCCATGACTCTCTACGTATGAGACTCCAACAAGTGACCGTCAAAGATCGAAAAGTTGAGAGATATCATACGGGGTACATTCAAATGGAGCCATTGAAGTCAGACTCTCATTCACAGGAGGACGAGTTAACTCGTCAGTTAAAGACATTGCCAGCCAAGGTTTTTAGCGCGTCGTGGCAGTTAAACACGAGGACAGTAAGTGTCTCGACTGAGCTTGATTGGTTTCACCCTCTTCTTCCTTTCACATGTGCCAGTGACCTATTTGAATCAAATCGACTGAGAACTAGATCGGGCGCCGTGGTTAACGTGACGTGCTATTGATGCCTTACAGGTCTCTTATGAGCGCAGATTTCGAAAGCCATCAAACAAAGGCACAATTGCAGTTTGCCCTTCGTTTAAAATGGCGACTGTCTTACGTCTTGATCCTTCTTCCGTGCACCAGTGGCACCTCTGTGTCGGCATCCAAAGGCTGTCCCCCTGAAACCTGCTGCGCTGCTCTGATCCCTTCCTGGAAAGAGGGCAGATGCTCAAGGTCAGTACTGTTGTCACGATAAAAACTATGTTGGTGCTTTTTTTGCAGATCATGAATTCTTGGTTGGGCTTCACTCCGATTTTGATTGGCCACCTAGAAACCTGTAGCATCTTCAACCAGATAATATTTCCAGAGTGAGGTTGGCAAGCAATAACAGACAACTGAAATGTGTGCAGGACCTTCACCTTTTGCTAGCGATCCCCCCATTCAAGAGGACCTTTCCGCACAATACACTTCTGCTTCGTTTCGCTGCTACCAAAAGTTCAGCATCTTTAGCCACAACGGGTAGGTTGCACAATGAACGCAAAATAACTTGTGTCGACACCAACCTGCAGATATTCCACATCGCGATAGCGAGTGGACTTGACAGAAGTCGCCTCAGCTGAAGGTCGATAGGATGAAATGTAGAGCTCCGAATCGAACATGTCTTGGATCATACCGCGT